CCAAGTTGTGCTATACTAAAGAAGTTTTCAGTGGTCTGAATGGGACATAGGCAGTAAATCTCTCTCTGAGATTTTGATCATTTGTTGACACCGAGTCCAAATTTTTCATGTTACGAGGTCATTTTATTTGTGTTCAAGTTACTCATATTCTATCATTATTAAGAAAGTACATTTAAAAAGTATTTTTTCAATTGTACTATTAACATGTTTGTTAAATGAAGTATTTAAAACATGGGCAGTGCATTTTAATTCATAATAATAGTATTTCTAGTAAAAAACTGTGCAAGAAGAAAGATCAATAAAATATTTATTATTTTCACTACTACATACTGAATATATGAATTTGTTTCAGATTGCAAGAAATTGAAGCTGAATTTGACAAACATGTGAGCATTAAAGATGTTACTCAACATGCAGATGTTGATGCTGAAGGCATTCAGTATATTTACAACTATTGGAAGTTAAAACGAAAGGTAAAACTACATATTCTTTGTTTATATCAACAGGTGAATGCAAATTTGGAACTTTTTTCAGGCCCTTTTGTTTTTTTTTTTCTTTCTTTCTCAGTACTCATTTAAATTTCGGCCTTTAATTACTCTAACCACTGTTGGTCTATGGGAATGAATTAAAATCCAATGCAACCAAATTGGTACACTGAGTAAAATACTTACAGAAAATTCAGATAAACTTCGACCAATTTCCTTACCTTTTCGAGATATTTGCGAGAAACTGTGTGCTCTGCCTTAAGGAGTGTGAAAGGAGAATGAGGGTAATTGTTTAAAAATTTCTTTGAGACTGTGAATTTTCTGTTGCTTTCAAGCACAAATGTGCAACATTTCAATCTGATTGGAATATTAAAGTTGTATTTAAAATTCCTTCTGTAGAAGAGAAAATAAGTTGCCAAAAAATAGCCCAAGTTATTTATATAAAAATTACTCTCTCTAGCTTCTTCCAGTCAAAGTTCTATGGAAATCTGTTTAGTTATTACCAAGATTAGTCCAGACAGATACAATTATTGAAACCACCATAATATGGATTATGTCATATAAATAACTATATCATCTTGTACAAAATTTATATTAGAATTACAGACGTTTTAAATTTATTAAAAGAGAAAATTGAAATTGCTTAACAATATTTGTATTTTCACTTTTCAGTGACTCACATCCAGACATAGAAATTCGTTTTTATTTCCTTAAAATTCATAAAGCTACCTAAAATATCAACATGGTTATCAACACTAACTATAGTAGGTTAACTTGGATAGTGAAGAGGTGTTGGCCCTTCAGCTTTTGTTGCCTCTGGAACTCCAGGCTCTAGACAAAGTAGCATGTTCGAGCCAATCGACACTCAAATACTCCACCATTCTTTTAAAATTATGAATTAGCAGCAGCTATTAGAAAGGGCCATTCAAGAAAATAAATATTTTGAAATTGTTAAGGAATTATTGAATTGATGCTCTTGAAAACGTTTTATATAAAATTTAGTATTGTATGATTCTTCATTTTCATATGTTGTCAATATTATTACAGATTAGGTTGCCTTCGGCTCCAAAACTTTTTGTTTTTTCTCTCAGTCTTTCCGTGTTGAATATTGGGGCTTCCAAATGCAATACTTTTTTAGCAATATTTGATTAATTACTCCTCAACCATCTGAAGTGGCTCAGGGTAACAATTGATGTCACTGTAATGTCTTGGACCAGAAGGTCCTAGGGTTAAAGTCCCGGCGGCGGCAAGATTTTCGACTAGCTGAATGACTAGGTCGAATTCAGCGGTTGTCTAAAGAAGAATTCTACCAACAGGTACCTCTGATTGGTAGTTTTTTGTTGGTTATCCGTTCATGATCAAGTGGACGTCGTAGCAGTACATTAACACTCTGGCCATAGACTGTGTGAATCTTTCCTTCCTATTCTTTTTCCCATCCTCATCCCTTACTTACACCACACTTCATGGAAACTTACATATATTTCTACCATAATTTCTACCGTGTGGGGATCTTACACTTAACACCAACCATACTGGATTCCCATGAAATTTTGCCAGCTGTTAGAATACTGTGCAAAACCCAAATATACAAGTACTATGAATTATTAAAAATAGTGTATTATGAGATTTTTGCATCAAGACCTTCCATGACCACAATGAATGAACTTGCATCGATAGCGTGTGAATCATTACGCAACGTATATCATGTCAGATTTCTTGCGCTTTCAACTGATGGCGAAGACATCCATTGGTCTCTTTTTAGTTTCAAGTGCGCAGTGACAAACATTCTTATTAATTCTACCAAAGTCAGTGGTAAAGATATAGTAAACTTATGTTATTTTTAAGAAAACTGATGAAGGAACTTCCGTGTGGTGCACTTAATGATGTGCTATGTTACACTCTAGATTTTGACACTTTTGATTGTTTTGACACCCCATTTTGCAAACACTTTCATTTGTAAAATGCAAAAGTGAAATACATGAATTTATTTATCATATATCAAGTTAACATTGTCAGCGACCCAAATAAATGGCATAATATATATAAACAGCAAAAACAAAACAGCAACCAAAAAATTGCAGAAATTCAGAGCTATTATGAAATGGCAATTTCCGATGTAGAGGATATGAGAAGAGCAGTTACGGACATAATTTTCCACATTCTCGCTACAAATTAAAATTCTGTTAATGATTTTTCTTCCAATGTGTGGTACTAATACAAGAAAATATAAGCAGGAGATTCTCAATATGGCAACAAAGAATCTCAATTCGATTTTTGTTCTTTAAATCAACGTTGAGAGTCTGATAACACTGTTTTTCCTGACAAATGTTTCAGTTGTATATAGAAAAGCCTCTAATGTTTTTGAGAAAACTGACTGAAGAAAAACTGACTGATAATATTGAGTTTCATTTTTGTGCCTTTTTAAATTGACTTAATTTTTAATATTTTGAAAATATTTGGAAATATCCCTGTGCATAATGAAAGAATATGGAGTGAAGAATGAGAATCGCGTTGGTGCTGCCATTTACTGTTTAGATAGCAAAATAAATCACGCCATTAGTCCAGTAACCTGAGTGACAACATCTGTCCTGTACGACATATTAATTGCTATGAGACAAATAATGTCCTCTGGAAACATGAATCATATTCTATTTACGGAGTTGCTTATCAAGACTTCAATAAAACAGCATAACTTTTGAAATATGTAATCATATACAAGAAATTCACTTGAAAGCATTAAAATCAGGGCTTTGCTTGGAATTGTTTGTGTGGCAATTGCTTGGAATAATGTGTTGCAAGGCTTAAAATCTAGCAATCTCCAGAATACCATGATGAACATTAGTGGGCCTCTTACAAACTCCACATCGAATCGAAAAGATGATCTGAACTTGCTACCCACATTAAACACAGAAACACCTTATAAGCAAAACCTCGCAACATTTACGTGAATATAGTAACACAAATCTGTGAAACACTTTTTTAATGTTTGTGTAAATTACAGCCAACAGATTATTTTACAATGGGGAAGAAGATTTTAAGACTATTGTGGTCTCATCAAGTTTTGAAGATATTTATTTAATTCTGTAGCGGTGTTAATATTTTTAATGATATTTAACTTGATATCACAACTTAACACTGAACCTAACTGAATTTGTATCTACATAACATCTTGTACGGTCAGTCGCTCGTGAACATGTTGTTGCTGCAACTTAAAATTTATGAGAAAGGAAAGATGTGTACGTAAGCTTCCGCGGCTTGAATCCATGAATTATTTATGAGAAAGGAAAGGAAATGTTGAAAACATCTAATGCAGATGCACAAGTTTTCAATTAACAATCCTGATAGTTATCTACATCGGCCGAATATTGCTTTTTTTTTAGTTTACTAACTATTCTGAGGATTTTATTGTAAGAAGTATCGGGAACGAAGATCGATTCGCGTTTTTTTGGGGGGTGCGTACAATGTTGAATTTTGCTGTTTAAATCCCATCGATAGATCAATCGGAATTCTTAAATAGTGTTGTGTGAAGAGATTTGTAACTTTCAGTGAATTACTTTATCTCTTTGTCATTATCCTTGAAATCATTCATTACAATGTTTTGAGGTAAGTCGTATTTTTTCACAATTTTCCACATTGTGTTTGCTTTTTTATTAGCATTCAAAATATACTGATTATTTTTACTTTCTCGTATATGTACGTATATACGGAGTAATGTACATAGTATAGGGAAAGTATAGGGAAAATTATGTAATGGTCAGGAAAACCAATTTTTAGCTTTCAACGGTATTACATGTTTTGGGATCTTCTGATACCAAAAAAGACTTCTTTTTTCTCCCTTTTCCCCCCTATTTTTCTCCCTCTTTTTCAAAACTTCGGTCTATTCGTCCGTCCATAAACAACATTAGCACCTAAATTATTTGTAGGTTTTTTTTTTCAAAATGGGTATTCCCTGGTCGATCTGGCTCCACTCGAAGCTTTGTGATTTTGATTAAATTTGAGGGTATTTAACATTAATTTCTCAGGGACATTTTCAAAATTTTCTCAAAAACTTCTCTAAATTAATTTTTTCTTGAAACTTTTGGTATGGATTGTTCTAAATGTATTTTATCCCTTCCCCCCCCCTTTTTTTCTTCTTCTTTTTCTTCTTCTTCTTTTTTTCTTCATTCAAAAATTGCAAATATATCATGTTTTTGACTTCTCACGGTGTTAATATTTAGATACAGTGATTTGTTAAGATTATTGCATTTATTACGTATGCATTCCAGTACATATGCTTCAATTGATGTCTTACAAATTTTGTCAAAACCTGAAAAGTTTTCTTTTAAAATGAGCTTCACAATTCCACGTTTCAGAAATATTGAAGCATTTTTTCTTAGAAACATCTCCAAATTTTTTCTTCCAACTTCTCATATGGATAGTGCTATTTGCACAGTTCAATATGACATAAAATTCATTGTGGTGTATTTTTTTTAAATATCTCTCACTATCAACTTCATTGGCTGATTTTCAGAGAAAATTTTATGCTGAATTAAAAATTTTCAATGTACCTAAAATATGTTAATTGACGATGTCTTAGAGTATTTTGCCTCAGGAGAGTCCAGCAGTACTCTGCCAACATACTTGAACTCCACTGCTCTTGGTTGCAATATCTTGATGGAAGCGCGCTCCATGTTCGTAGCTTAATGCCCCCAGACTTTCGGGAAAGAAATGCAAGTGAGAGTGAAGGAAGTGAATCTTAAGGGACGTATTACAGCCCAATGATTGGAATCTGCTCATGGTTTAAGTAACTTCTTTACTAGTTCCTTGTAGATGTCTTGTTACCGAAATATTGTTCTATCAAGAAATTCAGTCAAATTCTTGAAGGAAATACATACACAGTTTCTAAATTATTTAATCTTCCTTCAAAATTTGCATCTTTCACTAGCCTCTTTTTTTGGTCGGAAGTATATTCCCTCTTTAATTTTCTCATCCTTAATGTTTGGATACATCTTTCAAATACAAAAAGTCACTTCCATTTCTGTCTATTGCTTTCACGATCTTCTTCATCTCTTAATTTGTTTCAAAGAGAAGAGATAAATACCTTTTTTCTATCAACCAAGGGAGCATCCATAACACTTTTTACACTTAGTGTGAAAGATTTGCATGAATTCCATGGCTTCTTTTTGAAGTGGCTTTTACGATTCCTACTGTCCCATGTACACAAGAGAAGCAATTTATTCCTATTGTGAAGGAGGAAATTGTGAAATTCAAGCCAACTTTTGACAATTGGAACTTTTGACGCCATTCCTCTGGATTATGAGCATGTCCTAGTGTCTAGTAGTGATGAAATATTATTAAGGTACAGTGTATCATCATCTTGAGAATAAGATGCTTAAGGGGAAGTAAAAAGCCATGTTGATGAAAATTTTAGATTTTTTGTTATTGTCTGTTTTCTATTCATTGTACTTTTAGTAACATACATTTGTTTGCGATATATCTTTTCAAACGTATAAAAATATATTCTCATAAACCAACGTTTGTTGCTTTGGAGCGCTCTAGTAGAATAATTAGCAACATATCAATTGTTTAGCACTGAAAGTTGAAAATATATACTACCTGAGTGTTCATAAATGAC